CTTTAAAAGATCAGGTCACAAATCAATTACTCTGGATTATTTTATCCTATTAAATAGGTCCTCTTCACAATTTCAATTTGTTTAATTTGTAGGATATTAAGAATTCTAGCACCAGAATTAATTGCATTGAATAAAACACCAAAATATAATTTTCATGATGTGCTTATTCAAATGAGGGAAAAGAAATAAGAGTTGAGGTAAACAGAACATGATGTATCTTGAGAGTATGGCCAGAATTTGACAGAGATGATGTTGAGATATTCCTGTTAAAATTCCATTATCTACAGTATGCAAGAATGAGATTTTTCTACTGTAAAATATGCAGACTGTTAGGCAACACTGCAGCAAAAACAGGTCCTAAAGATATGTTATGTAATTTAATTCCAAAGGAAGGACTTTGTTTAAAAAAAAAACAAACAAACCAAAAACCAAAACCAAAACACCCTTTGATTTGCATTACACATTAAGGATTTTTATGTTCCACGCTCTGAAGTTCCATTTACCCTCCTCTTCATTCGATTTGGCTGATCACAAGAAGTAGATTGTATTTTAAAAGGAAAGCAGTTGTTTCCTTGTTAAAATAGCTTCAAGTATGTCTCTGGCAGTGTCATTAAAGAATATTTAAAGTGATCTTGAATGCATACCCATTCCCCAAAAGTTTACCCATTAAAATAACTAATTTGTTTTCTTTGAGCAACTAATGGAAACACTGAACATGTCCACAATTATTTGTTACAGTAGCATGGAAATACTTCAATGATGGTTCTGGAGCATTCTCAGATACTGTAGTCAATTGTTTCAAACCTACGGCACCTTACCATATAGCATGGTATGCAGCACAAGGTATTTACTAATCTGCCTGGTTTAGAAGTGCTGAGACTCAGTGCAGACATTGTAGCATTCTTTTTGGCAAGAAAATAGTATTTCAACTTCCATTAGTGAAAAGACTGCTAGAAGGGAATTCATTAAATATTCTACTATTTTATTGCTCATGAAAATAATTCTGTAGTCTACTGTATGTATTAAAAAAAAAGTTGTTACGATATGTGAATATTTTATTACTATTTTATAGATGTTCTTCTTACAAATGCATCATGTAAGAGTCATAGTTTCACTTGGCTCTAAATAGCTGGAATTCTTTAAGAGAAAGAAAAGCTTTCTTAACACTCCTGCTTTAAGAAAATAAAAAGGACTAAGAGAATACATATATATCCCAATTTTAAACCAGAAGAGATAAGAATATATCATACTACCGTATTACCCATTTTAAAAGCATCCAATTAGTAAGTTTTCTTTGTTATAGATGCTAGATGAAAACTTCCTTTTTTTTTTTTTAAACTATTACCTAGGATGATCATGTTAAAATTCTTGGGGTGGGGTGAGGGTTCCTGTTCTAAAATTGCTGCTGCAGTCAAAAAAAAAAAAAAAAAAAGTTAGGAACATTCACCACTGAATGAATTCTTGGATTGAGTTAGCAGTTCAGTTCATTCTTGGATTACTGTTAGAGGGGAAAAATCCCTTTATTATTCATCCACAGAAGTTTTACAAAAACACAACATAGTTATTCAAGTTGAGAAGGAAATGGTGTCCCTGTGACACAGATCTTGTGCCTCACTGTGTTCCTGTGCAGAGGTACAAGGTACAAAACTACAATAATTGTTATCCAGTTCCCTCAAAACCAGGAGCCTGTAGAACATCAAAAGGCCTGAAAAGTAGGGATTAGAAGATAGATCAAAAGATTAGACATCAACAACTTAAAGGATGCCGTTACTACACAGCAAGAAACAGTTCTGCAAGTATCTCAGAGGGAATTGCAATGCAAGTGAGCAAGGCAGCACGTAGGTGTTGGAGAACATCTTGGCAATAAAAAGGAAATACTCAGTAGCCCACACCAGCAAGTAGGAATGAACGTACACAGTAAAAACACGAGCTGGATCATTCCAACAATTGTAGCATTCTATCAAACTTGATACATTCCCTCTGGAGCAGAAACTTTCAATTATCCTCTGTGACAAAATGTCCATTATAATGGACCCCCAGTGAGAGGCTTTGGTCTGTGACAGATTCAAAAGAACTATTTGTACTTAGTCGTGCAAAGCCTGTTTAAATATTGTGACAGGTTTCTGACAACTCCTGAGAGCTGGAGACTAGAGGGAGGGAGAACCAGTGAGATTAACCATTTCTACATTCTGATTATTTCTACAGCAGTAACATAGACTGCACAGTATTGCAACTTTTTTGTTATATGGCATCTCGATAAGGAGTTTGCAAAGTTTCACCAGTGGCCTGTGCAGCTCTGGCTAGCTTTGAATCTACTGCATTGTAAGCTGCTCCTGCCGTCCAGATCCTGTTGTCAACAGGCCTTAGAAGACGTCTGTCCAAAGACTGTGGTGTAAACTGTCCTTGGACAATGATACCGAGTTTCTATGTCCCTGCCTGCTAACTGAAGAAAACCATTCAGACATCCAGTAATGGTCATACTTTGACATCAATGCTGTTATCAGCTACTGGCCAACAGCATCACTGCCTGTGCTGTCTTTTTCAGCACAATCCCTCTGCATTACCTTTCTGTTTGATGATACTGGCTGCTTTACTCAACAGATTCCACAGACTGTTCTTCAAAGCCTGAAAAGATACCTGTAGATTGGGATGGTCCCAGGAAGAAGAATTCTATCACTGCGTATCAGTCTTGCATAGTGTTGGGAAAAGGGACACATTTCTAGGAGGGCATGTGCTTAAGGAACAAGCCTAAGCAGCTAGCTTAGGCTAGCTAAGCCAGATGTGCTGGATCAAATCTCTTGTAAACAGGAAACATAACATAGTTCTGAAGATGCCCGCCTGTGTTCAGAACTAGCAGATTGGGTATTTGCTACGTTTTTCAGCGAGTCAAGTATGTTTAAGAGGACCAGCGGGAGGACTGCAACTGCTCCAATCTCCGAGAAATATAAACAGGCGTAGAGCATGTTGTACCAGTGCACTTCACACTAGTTTAGTTCTGTATGCACAGAACACAACTGCAGCGTGATCCCAATTACACGTGCTCCCAGAAGTGCACCCAAAGGAACTGACAGTTGGGTTTTAAAATGCATATGACACCACTTTTGTATACCTTTTCTCTAACACATAATAAAATGTTGTTGGCGTTGGCCTTAAGGTTAGTATAGAAGCATTGCCAAAATTTTTTTTTTTTTTAAAAAAAAAAACCAAACAACGTTTTTTTTCCTTTAAACTCTCAGTATTAGATATCGGTCACATTTACCAAGCATGTTTGTTCCACCTCTATTCTGCACTATTCTTAGGCTGTGATCGTTACTGCAGTATCTTAGTGTCTCTTAAAAGCTGAAACGGACCTGATAGATCTCAGAAATTCCGCATCTGGCATTTCAAGCAAGGCAGCTGCCTCCAAGCTTCACTGGCCACTAAATCCAAGAGCTGCAAGAAAGTGCTTTTCTCAGCCAAGTCTTTATACAGCTTTTCTTATACTTCCCACACTTGTCCCTTATGACAGCACACTTTTATCTGCCCGTTGTTATTTGCCAGATTCAGTCTTTGCCAGACGCAGTCTTTGAAGGGCTACAACTTTTGTCTGTGCCTCTTTTGCTCTTTAGTTAGTTATTAAAACTTACTTTCATAACCTTTATATGGTTATTTCAAGGACGTTCTACACAGTAATGTAAGTGTACTAGTTACTAAACAGTTACAGCAGTCTGATCGGGATACTGACAACAGGACCAGCCCCAGCAAGGTGCATTCTGCACTGATTCATTCCAAGCAGAATTTGGCAAGAGATGGCAGCAAGTCTCATTTCAGTTGCGTTTCTTTTAACTACCTGCACTTTCAATTATTCCATCCCTTTTTCTTATTCAACACAACTGCTGAAATACTTTCCATCTTCAATTTTTACCTTGTCCAAGAACATTCAACTTTTCCTCACTAAATATGTGAGACAAATACCATGACTTCTATGCACGGTATCCAGACTGACAGCTCTCTGTTAGCTCATTCATTATCTATTCAATACCCTTACACACTCACAGGCCAAAAAATTCAAGAGTATCCTTGGTTCTCCCCCTATACTTACAAGATATTTCTGTAAGTTTAAGACCTTTTAAGAGGCACAGCAAAAACTGATTTATAAGCTTATATGTATTTAAAGCTACAACATAATCTCTTACATATTCTGGATTATATATTAAAAAAAAAAAGTCTTTGCTATCTTAATAGTGCAGCATTTTCCAGTGGCTTGTAATAGCTTTCTACTATATTTATCGGCCAATTCCTACTTGTTATCATCACTGAGTATCAGTGATATGCACTGAACACACTTGATTCCACTTTCCAGCACAGGCCTTCTCTTCGTGAGCATCAAACCAACTCCCTCTAGATGGAGTGTTTCTGTTAACCTCCTTGGTGTCATTGGGAAATCTTTACAGTTTAGTAGCTGGTCATGCTTAAGTACAGGCTACAGGAAAATTAGTTGACACACATTCATGGAGACAAAATAACAACTTCAAAGTTAAGTTGTAAGTTAGATCACATTACCCAACATAGAAAAAAAAACCCATACTCTCTGATAAACCAAATTATCAAAACCAAAATACTAACAGGTCATTGGCAAGAAACTAGCTGGATCATATAGCAAATCTTATAGGAAATTATAGTTACATTTTTATCCATTTCTTAACAGTGTATTTTCTCTGTTTTCTTAGGCAGAAGAAACGTGAAAAAAACCCACATATCTTTCAACATCAGCAGCATTTAGTATTACGTCTTAATCTAGATTTTTAGAACCACAGAAGAGACAGTTCCTCAGTATGAAATAATGCATTTAGTATTATCCTGATGAACATAGAGAGAAAGCAGCACATGAGAATTTCCATGCGCAAAATAAAACTGGCAGTTTCCTTTCAGTGGGAGATAACATGAAGCTGAGAAGGAAACGAAGTTAATACTGATGCTAACACAGATGGAGAAATGTTCTTTATACATGAGAAACTTACCAGTACTGTTCGCCCTTGGGAAATAAAGAAATGGCCAGATACAACAACGGTAAGGATAAGATGGCCTGATTCTTCATTTGATTCAAAAACCTTTAAAAAGATAGACAAAATAAAAAGCTGGCCTTGTAAGCACAGAATCTACATTTTCTATTTCTAGTGCAAAATAAAAGGTTTCAAAGCTTGGTGCTAGAAGTCAGGTGTATAATTTCCCACTCAATAATGCAGCCTGCCCTTCGCTTCCACAGACAGGAGGCACATTTAAGAAATTTTTACTAATTATAACTCCATGTACAGATTTAACTACTTTAAACAACCATCTGGACTCTTCCAACTTGATCTATAGTTTTTAATACCCAGGTCGCTGCTATAGAAAGGAATAAAAAAAAAGCGGGCCGCTAACTATCGTATCATTGTGTTTACATTAATAACTCATGAAGCAAAATCTCTCCTGATTTCTGCATTAGCTCTAGACTTGCAAAAAGGTACCTGCAAAGGCCTCACTTAGTACTCCTTGCTACTCAGCGGCCTCCTAGACCCCACTGGAGCCAGTTAGAGCAAAACCAAGCAGCCAGCCCCCACCCCAGCCTCGCCTCGCCTCGCCTCGCCCCCCCACCTTCCAAGAGGAGGTGTTTTGCCCTTCATCGTCGCCGTCCGTCGGGGGTAG